CCCGCCCGCCAGCCAGCCGCCCGCGGGTCCCCGTCACGCCAGCCCACACCTGGGGGCTCTCCCGCCCGTCAGCCAGCCGCCCGTGGGTCCCCGTCACGCCAGCCCACGCCTGGGGACTCCCCTGCTCACAGCCGCAGCTCCCCTGCCACCCGCCGGGAGCCAGGCCGGGCTGGGCGTCCCGTGTGAGCACCACCCTAGGCCTCCCCAGGCTGAGGGAGGGGGCAGCAGGAGGATTGGGGTCCCTGGATTCTAGTGGCTCCTGTCTCCCTGCCCCAGGGGGCCCAGAGTTGGTTGGCCTCGTCGCCACTCTTGTCATCACTGTGGGGGTTATTTGCACGTGTCAGGCCATGTCCCGCCTCCCCTGGGACCATGTGGTGCAGCACCTGTCTGCCCTGGAGCATCCCTCCATCCATTCCTCCCATCCCTCCTTTTGTTCCTCCAGCCAGTACTTGACCATTCATCCATCTACTCCCTGTGAACCCAGGCATCCATTCCTCCATCCCCACAGCATCCATCCATCCATCCCCTGTAGCCCCTATCCATCCATCCAGCACTTGACCATTCATCCATCCACCTCCCTGTGAACCCAAGCATCCATCCATTTCCCCCATCCATCCCCGTCACCCCATCCATCCATCCATCCATCCATCCATTCACCTGTTTTGTCGAGTCCCTTCCACCCACATCTTCCCTTGAGTCTCACCAATGACCCCCACATCCCTCCACGTATCCAGTATTTGCTCCAGCTGTCTATCCATCCCTCCCCTTCCCTTTGAACTGTTCCCCTCCTGTAGTTCCATCCATGTCACCCCCGCACATTCCTTCCATCCATCCGTCTTCTGAATCCCTCCACTTTCCCATTCATCTCTTCTTGAACGAGACTTCCACTCACCCACCCACCATTGTTTGAACTCCTCTGCCCTGCCACCCATCCCTCCATCTACCCACACACCCTTGCACTCTTCCATTTTCCCACCATTCATCTCCTCTTGAACCCACCTGTGCCTGTTCATCCATCTATCCATCTCCATGGCCCCCATCTATTCCTCCATCCCTATAGCCTCCATCTATCTATGGTCCCTTCTCAACCTGTCTTCATCCACCCATCACACCCATCTTCTCTGCTTACATCCACGCCCCTCCCCCCCTCTTCCTATCTCTTGTTCAACAGCCCCTGGGCATGACTTCTCAGACACTTGAATCCCCTCCCTTCGCCACCAATTTGTCAGTATTCCCCTCCCCCCCATTGCAAATCTGCAGCGAACAGGGGAGGGGACATTCCCGCAGACCAGGGAGGATGGGGCCCAGTGTCCTGATTTTTATGCCAGGGGCCAAGTGCCATGTGGCCTAGGTTGATTTTTTTGTGTTTATTTTTGGTCGGTGGGGGCTGTGCTGGGGCAAAAGTCAGGGAATTTGGGGCTAGCTCTGATCTCCCCCACACTGCACTCCCTGGGCTTGATGTTTTTCTGCCTTTTTCAGAAAATGTTTTTAAAGTAAAAACTCACTGACGTAGAGCTGGATTTATCTGTATTTAAATAAAGGCACTAACTGAGCACTACAGGGACCTCGGTGTCTGAGCTGGGGGACACTGGGATCATGCGAAAGATCTGGGGATCATGCTGGACCATTCACAAAGAGCATCAGGCTCAATGCCCAGCTGCTGTCAAACAAGGGCATTATTAAGGGAGTTGACACATGTCAAAAAGAACATCTCATAATTTACATTCCAAACCTTTTGATTTTTAAGTTTGTTTCCTGATTTTTGGCGATACTGAAGGGCTATAAGGATAATGAGAGGTACATGGGGGGGCCCAGGTCTGGCCCCCACACCTCTGCAAGGATGAAGAAGCTCCAGAAAGGGACTGGACACCTTGGAGGAGTGGGGCATCTGGAATGAGGGGCCTGCCCCCAGCCCCCCCTCCCGTCACAGCTCCCAGGCTGTCACTGCCAGGGCAGCAAAGGGGAGAGGAACAGGGGGAAAGCCCTGGTCAGCCCTGGATCACAGCATCCACTCTCTGCACCTGTGAGGGGCACTTTGGAGGGTGTTGGGGGACACTGGGCTATCCCATCCACATGATTGTGGGGGGATTAGGGATAGTGGGATACCCCCCCTACACACACACACACAGTGGGGAGGCAGGTATTGGGGGACACTGGGAAATGCACAAGTGGTTGTAGGGGGGGCTGGGAATACTGGAGACCCACCCACTAGACACACACGGGGGCGTTGGGGGACACTGGGCTCTATACAGCTGGGGGAACACAGCGGGACCCCCCCCACACAGGCACTGGGGGCAGGAATACCAGGAATTGTGGCTGTGGGGCGGGAGCAGGGGCTTGGGACTGGCCCCAGAGCTGGCGGCAGGGTTCAAGGTACAAGTAGGGGGCAGAGGGGTTAGGGTCAAAGGGCACCCCTGCGTGCAGGATAAGCCCTCGTCGGGGATCAGAGAGCGCCCCCCAGCGTGGGAGAGGGGTACTGAGAACAAAGAAGGGGGCCGTCCCCCGGAAGGGGCGGGGCTACCTACTGATTGAGGACCAATACGTGAGAAAGGGGCGTGTCTTCAAGCCTCCTGCTGTGGAGAGGGGGCGGGACCAGAGGTAGTGGGCAGGGCGAGGCGGTAGGCGGTGTGCGCGGTAGAAAGTGCGGGCCAGGCGGGAGCACGCGCATGCGCACCGGGGCTGTTAGCGGCGCGAGCCCCGCCCCTCCCACAACCACCACCGGTCAAGTGCCCGCGTGCCCGGACGTGACGTACCCGCATGCCCGGACGTGACAGGCTAAGGGCGGGGCGCGTGGCGGCCTGAAAGGTGCCGCGGGAAACTTGGAGCTCTGGGCCTACACGCCGGTCATGGCCGGAAGTGACAAAGGGGGAGACGGGTACGGAGCGGGCGGAAGAAGCCCCGCCCACTGGGGAGGGGGAGGGGCTAATAGGCGCGGTCTTAAGGAGGCAGGGTGGGGGAGGGGCTTCGCCCCCGACAGCCCGGCGCTTTCTCTCCTTTCCTCCCTGCAGGGCGGCGCTGGGGCTGCGGCTGGCGCTGGCGGCGGCCTGGCACGTGGTGCGGGCTCGGCAGACCCGGGACTACCCGCAGGCACTGGGGCTGCTGGAGGCTGTGGGGCAGGCGGCGCCCGATGCCGTTGCTTTCCGGCACTATGCTAAGCTGTGCCTGGGCCTGCAGGCCGCGGTGAGCACTCTGCCACGGCCAAGGGCCCCATGATGCTTTGCTTAACCCCCCCCCAGCTCCGCCCTTTGCTTTTCTCTATCCCTACCTTTCTGGTGTTGAGCCAGTGTCCCATGAGCCTCTGCTTCCCTGGCTGATCCTGCCTGCTGCTTGGTATCCAGTAATGTTTTTCTTCCCAGCAGGCCCTGGCCAGATTGGTATCCCACAGTGCTTTGCTCCTCTGCCCCCCCCCCACAGTTGCATCACATTATGACTCTGTCCCATAATGCTTTGCACCCCACCTTTGCCTCCCCACTGGGCTAGACATAGCCTGAGATCCCATGATAAGCTGTACTTACTGTATAGCTCATCAGGCCTGTCACTCAGTATCCCATGGTCCTTTTCATGCCCCATTCCTGACCCAGCCTGTATCCCACAATGCTTTGCTTTGCTGACTGAGCCAAACCATGGTTCTCAGCCCCATGATTTTCTGCTCTTCCCCCACCCAGCTGATTGCTCCGTGCTACTCGGTATCCCATGATGCTTAGCTTCCTGGTGCTGGCTGAGTCTCCCACAATCCTTTGTTTCAAACCCCCTGCTGCCCCATGTCCTGCTGTTGGCTACAAATGTCCAACTCGGGATCCTTAAAATTCTGGTTTATTAGGCGGATTGAAACACTGTAATGAAGTCAAATCATAAACCTTGGGGCTGGTACGTACACACACACACACACACACACACACACACACACACACACACACACACAAGCGAGCTACAAGAGTCAGGTATACCTATCCCCCAGGCGTTGGAGTCCGCTGTCGATGGTCAGGCAAGGCTGCTTCCAGCGTGGTGTTAACCTCCAGAAGGGGGTCGCCGGCTGGTCCTTCTGGCTGGACAGGTCGGGTGCTGGTCAAGTTGGAGATCAAGAGGGCGCTCCTGAGGGCTTCCGAGGTCCCTTCCAGCCCTAATGTCTATGAAATCTATGAAATCTATGAAATCCAGGGGTCGTTGACCCTCATGGGACTTCCCCCTCAGTGGCTCCTGGATGGCATCTGTCAGCCCCAGGGGTCGTCCGTATGTATGTGCAGGTTTGGAAGTCCGTTGATGAATTTCGAATAGGGCTCTGGGAGTGGTCGATCTGGAGATATTCAGCCCAAAAGTTGGTCCCCGGCATTGATTAACTCAGACCAGGGCTTCTAGCCCTTGAACAGTGAAGTTTAGAGAATTCCCGGTTGCTACATTGTCTCCTATTGACTTCTTCCCTTGGTTGATCTGCGGTTTTCCTAGGTGTTAATGGCTGCCTGCTACTGTGTTAGGCATTCAATCACTGATTCACTCGGGTCCGCCTGATACAGGGAAGCACAGTTTGATTCCTGCCCTTGTTAACATTGTTACAATGTATAACTTACTTCTGAAACTAAACACACTTAGTTAAAAGGTGAGGAGTATAAAATATAAGCTACAAGAGTAATGCCATAGCGCACAAATAGATAAAAATACCAAAATACAAGGGGAGATACAAAATACACACATACAAACTTTAAAACGCAATTTCTTATCTTATACTGAAAGAAAGAGGAAGGAAGAAAAGGTAGAAGAAAAGAAACATATCCAAAGAGGGGAGAGCAAATGCAGGCAAGAGGAAAAGGGGGCTTTCTGCTACACTGCTTGTGGTTAGTAGCCCATGATGTTCTTCTCCCCAGGTGATCATGAAGATGCTGGAGGAGGAGGAGCCGGATGAGAAGATCTATGATGCTGTGGACACCTACTTTCCTGAGGGCAAGCCTAAACAGCACCCCCTTGCTGTGAGTACCCTGGGGGCACATCCCTGTACTGTTCCACTTAGCCACACTTCCCCCCCCAAAAGCAGCTGCATTTTGCAGCAGATCATTGCATCTGGCATTTCCCCAGACCCCCCGGGACATTGAGATAGTGACAGAGGCCCAGGAGGCCTTCCGGGACCAAGTGCTGGGGCTGCTGAGCAACCGACAGGCCAGGGAGAGGTACCTGGAGGTGAGTGGACAAGGGGCAGGGGGCAGGGCTGTGCCAGGGGAGGGCAGAACTCTCACTGTCCATCTGCAGGGGCAGCTGGAGGCTGAGTACGGAGAGGCTTTTCTGCGTATGCTGGAGCAGCTCTTCTATGAGTACCTGCTACGACTGGAGAGTGCCTTGCCCCTGCCCAACGTGAGCCAGGTGAGGGGGTGGGGTTAGGGGGGAAGGGGTGGAGCATGGCAGAGCCCTGCCTCTAACCCCTGCCCCCCTCCCCCTCTCTCTTCAGCTGTATGAGATGGCTTGGAGCCAGTGCCCCCTACCTCAGGCTACACAGTGCCCTAAGGAGCTGCGCCTCCTGACCCGCTATCTGGTGGATGTGGGGCACCAGAGTCAGGGTAGGTGGGCGAGTATGTGTGGGAAGAGGCGGAGCCTCTGGTGGGCAAGGGTGCGTGAGGAGGGGCAGAGTCTCGGGACAGCAGTGAGCAGAAAGAAGGTGGTAGTCAGGGCCTGGGTTAAATTTGCTGCCTGGGCCCTGGGTGGCAGGGGTTTAGGAAGGGCTAATGTAAAGGGGGCAGAGCTCTCCCAAGCCATGCCCTTCCGCTCCTTCTCTCTCTTCCAGGCCCCCTCCCCCAGCCCCCTCGCGCCAACACGCCCACCTCCACCCAGCAGCAGCCTGTGCAGCTGGCACCCCAGCCAGCACCTGGGTCCCTCCAGCACCCGCTCAGGCTGGCCCAGAGCAGCAAAGAGTGAGTGTCTATTGTTCCCATACCCTACCCACCACACACCCTTCGAGCCCCCACTTATGCTGTCCTCTCCCCCCAGCCCTCCCCGTAGACGCAGACTGTACAGCCAGATGCCCAGGGACCAGAAGCAGGGTGGGCACCAGATTCTCAGTAACCCCAGGCATCCAGGTGGGTTATGTTTGTCCCCCCTCAACAGGGATTGGGCCTCAGGGACCCCAGTGTCTGTCGCCTAAAGCCTGGGGTTGGGGTGCATCCTGTCCCTGCAGAATACAGGTGAAGGGGAACCCAGGAGTCTGGGGCAATGAGGGTACATTTGCCCAGGATAACAGGGAAGTTAACCCAGGAGTCCAGGAGCTGGCCCATAATGCACCCCTCCCTCCCACCAGACACGGTACAGGACGTAGTGTGGGACTCTGCTGATGAAGAGAGCAGCTTCCTCTGCTGGAAGGTTGAGGAGGGGAAATTGGGGGGGGGTAGGGTATTGAACTATCTGGCTGGAATGGTGAGGTCTCAGTGGGGGGTACAGAGCTTCTGAATGGGGTGTTAGGGGCCCTG